ATGCTCTCCTCTCTCCCCCTGGATATTCCCCATAATGCTCTCCTCTCTCTCCTGATGATCCCGTGATGTTCTCCTCACTCTCTCCCCTGTCATTCCCATCATGCTCTCCTCACGGTCTTCTTCTGTGAGTTCCCCATTCCTACATCTTCCACCACTCCCTCCTGAAGGGAATTAGAAAATCAACATACCTGGCTAGAACTTCCTTCCAGACTTTTCCGAAAAGCCTGCTTGACCACCCCCAGGACCCAACAGTCCCACAATGTCTTGGACACATCTCTCCCCCTTCTCTGGACTCACTCATTTCCGCCACTAGCCTCCCCACCAGTCCGGCCTCCCCGACTCTGATGCGTGTCTCATTCTCCCCACTCCTGTTACGCAGTGGCGGAGGGGAGCCAGCACTGCGGCCAACTTGCCTGAACCTAGACAAACTGTGCTGTTCAGTGCATGCATATTTAAGTGTAAATTAATGAAATAAAATTGAAAGTTCATTTTTTTTAATCATGTCTGTCACGTTTTAACTGCTTAGTAGACACATCTGAATACCAGCTCCTATACCGGACAGCACAGCTTTAGGGGGTTTATACCCCTGAAAGCCTGTTGCAACCACTTCCTTAGGCCAGTTTGGTTCAACATTTACTAGGAATGCTGGGTGGAAAGAAAACTCCCCACCAGGCGTGAGACTTTGTATGGGTCAGTCCACAGCTCCCTCGGCCACCAGACCAGGTCCAGGTCCTCATTTCTGTCTGCTCCCATTTCTGTCACATCCCAGCCCTTCTACCACCAGCTGCTGCAGGAACCTTCTCCGTCTGCCCCCAGGATGAGGCTGCTCAGCCTGACGTGACCTCCAACCACTCCATTTGATCCCAATTCAACCTCCTGGTCCAGACTGCCCATCTCTGCCTGTACCCCAAATAGCCAACTTGTGTCCGCATGCAAGCCCCATACAACCACATGCTCCACCTTTTCCTTACCCCTTCACATCTCATGTCCTGGCTGCCTGATGGGCTCCTGTCTCCCTTCAGGGCTGACTCAAGTGTCACACGGGTCCCCACAGGCCCGGGTCTTCTGGACTCTTTAAACTCAGAGCCCTACTCCTGGCACTGTCTTTGAGAACTGCCTGCAGCTGTTTGTAGGGGGCTTTGGGGGTGCATACCTGAGCTGTGAAAAGATTCAGGTGCCCAAACCCTCCCACCAGACCTGCCGAACCAGAGAAAGCGCCCACCACAGGCCGGCCTGCAGAGGGGTTTCTGGGAAGCTTCCAGAGGAGGTCAGGCTCATTAAGGGCTGCTTTCCATTTTTTTTTTTTATTGTAATCTGTGGTGTTAAAAATCTCTACTCACTCATCAAAGAGTGCAGCCTTCTTTTTCTCAACTGCTCCGGCTCTTGGCTCTGGCAGAAGCTGAAAATGAGATTCTGGAATCACAAGAAAGAAAATGACAAAGTATTAAATCATATTAGGGAATATGAATGAAGTGCTAACAGCCGGGCAAAATTGCTGGCACCGCTGGAGGCAGAGCGCTGTCCTCCTTGGCTCAAGCAAAGTGCAAACACGCTGCGGCTTAAGCGACCTGCACAAAGCGCAAGCCTGTGCGACAGGGAGCTGGGCCTAGCAGGGCGTGAAGGAGGAAGTCCGTGGGGGGCGCGCAAAGCCTGGGAGTGAGCTGGTGATTTCTGCACCGCGCGCGTGAGAAAGGAACCACAGGGAGCAGGTTAGGGAGGAAGGGGGTCTGGGGGTAAGAGCTGCAAACAAAGGTGGAAACTCTCCTCTTCCATCTGGGATGAGGGTTCTCCTAAAAGTTGTCCCCAGAAATAAAGGAGTGAGACGAAGGTGGTAACCGACAAGCGAGGATAATGCTTCTACCAGAGGCCAGCGAGGGGACCTCCCAGCTCGAAAACGGGGCTGGACAGAGCAGGGAGACCCCGGCAAAGGCCCAAGGGCAGGGGAAGGAGGGGCCAGGCGAGGGAAAGGAAACCCGCAAAACCCCAAATTCTCTCAGAGGGCACAGAAAGTTAGGCATCAGAAAAATAAAACCATGAATGTTCCAGAAGAAAACCTGAGAACTCTGTTCTAAAATATCTCCACAGGGACAGACTTTGCAAATAAAATATAAAACCCAGAGCAGCCTCATCCCTGGGGTAGACGGAGAAGGTTCCTGAGGCGGCTGGTGGCAGAAGGGCTGGGATGTAACAAGATTAATAAAGTTCTTGGATAAAAATCTTTGTAAATGTCCACATGGAAAGAGATACCAGGAACAAGATACAAATTTGTCAATAAATATCACAGGCAACAGACTTAATTTCCTTAATGTATAAAGGGCTCCTATCAATAAAACAACAAAATCTAATAGGAAAACAGGCAAATGATCTGAATGGATAACTTACCAAAATACAAATGACTCAGACATATAAAAAGATGCTCCATCTCATTTATAATAAGAGAAATGGAAATTAAATCCACAAGGTGCCTGTGATCTTTATTCACTATAGTGGCAAAGAACACAAAGTTAACAGGCTGTGTTGCTAAGGCTGTGGGGGAAATAATGGGTCACTTTACATTCCCATCAAGGACTCTATGGATGGCAATTTGGCAAATTCTGCAGCAGTGGAAGATGGACATACCCTTGACCTAACAATCTCACTTCTAGGAATTTATATTTATACCTAATATGTGAAAAGATGTTTGTGCAAGGTTGTTACAGTCTTATTTATCTTGGCAAAATTAGAAATAACTCCATGCCCACTTATAGCGGAAACCTGTTCAATAAATGCTGGTATAGCTATTTGTAGCAACATGGATGGAGCTACAGGACATTATGCTCAGTGAAATAAGCCAGGCGGAGAAAGACAAGGGTCAAATGATTTCCCTCATTTGTGGAGTATAGCAATGAAGCAAAACTGAAGGAACAAAACAGCTGCAGATTCACGGACTCCAAGAAGGGACTAGGGGTTACCAAAAGGGGAGGGGTGGAGGGCAGCGGGGGGAGGGAGTGAGAAGGGGACTGAGGGGTATTATGTTTAGTACACATGGGGTGAGGGGTCACGGGGAACACAGTGTAGCACAGAGAAGGCACATAGTGAACCTGTGGCATCTTACTACACTGATGGACAGTGACTGCATTGGGGTGTGGGTGGGGACTTGATAATGTGGGTGAATGCAGTAACCACATTGTTTTTCACGTGAAACCTTCATAAGAGGGTATATCAATAACACCTTAATAAATAAATAAATAAATGTTGGTATAGCTTTATAGAGGAGTAATATGTATAGCCACTAAATAAAAATGAAACTAAATATAAGACAATAAGATAAGCAGTATTTAGTTTTTAGTTTTAAATTTGTCTCTATGGGTAATGACCTCCCAGGTACATTGCTAACTTTAAAAAGCAAAGAGCAGTAGAGAGTGGACAGAATAACACTTCTTGCTTTAAAGGAAAGAGACGGAGGGAGAAATATGACATGCTTATACATGTGTGCAATGTTTCTGGATGGATACACAGGAAACTGACCATGGCTGGCACTAGGAAGGCAAACTGGGGCTAGGGGCAGGTATGAAGGAGACTTTTCACTGATACCCTTTTGTGCCTTTTGAACCGCTACCAATGTGCATGTATAATATAAGGTTATTTAATTTAAAAATATAATATAAACTCCTCAAATAAAATGGTCTTTCCTGCGCTGTCCAATGCAGTAGCCACCAGCCACAAGGGGCTGTTTAAATTTAAATGGATCAAAATTAAATAAAATTTAAAATTCAGTTCCTCAACCACACTAGGTACATTTCAGGTACTCAATAGCCACATGCAGCTAGTGGCTTGCATGTGGGACGGCAAAACTAGAGACAATTTTATTCTCAATAGTGCAAGTTCTACTGGCCAGTCCTGGACAGGGTGCTAGTTACAAAGACCCATTAGAGACAGCAACCAAACCTTAGTTGTTTCTCTAAGAAACAGAAACGTGGAGGACTCCTGCCCTGTGAGGCCGTCTAAAGGTCAAGTCAGAAACTTCAGTCCTCAAGGGTCAGAGCTCAGCACTATAAGAGGTAAGATAAGACTTTCCCATCTTGGAACCACACTCACTGCCAGAATAAGCCAGAAATTCGCATGTCCTCTGCTAAGGGAAAGGAACTGATAGAAGATTCACTCTGTCCTGCCTGCTTCACACCAGAACACTAGAAAATGGTTCCCCATGGGCATTCTTGCTCAAGAACCAGCCAAGCCCACAGCCCCCTCCCCGGTTCTGCCGCTTGGGGCAGCAGTACAGGCAAAGAAATAGCCTGGCAAGTCTGGCCTGTGGACAGAGCATCACAACCAGAAAACCCTGCTACCCAATCCTCCGGAGGTGAGACGGAGGCCGAGGAGGGGGAGGCTGGCGTTCCCTCGGGGACTCAGCCGGAAGGCAGGTGGCTTATGCACCCTGCGGCATGTCGTCCAAAATATCGTACTGGCCGAGAACCAAGCAGTCAACAGGAACACGTGCCCTTATCTACTTCACACCTTCAGAACATCAGACTCGGGGGCCAACGTGGGGGCTACGGTGATCATCTGAAATAACCACCTGGTTGAAATCATGTTTACCACAGAAATACAAGCCGGTCTCCTGGATGAAAGGCAGGCCAAAAGCCACTCGCCCTCTTACCTCCAAGGACCCCAGAATCTTCGGGCTCTTGAGCCCAGAACAAGCTCTGGTTCGAGCACCTCTCTCTGAGTTAGTGCAAATAAATGCACACGCTGTCATCAGCTGAGGTCTTAGAGGTAAAGTGCTAGAAAGAGCATCACATAAATGACTATTTTCCACATGACTGAAAGGAATTAAAGTAGCCCTCTACAGGGCTATGCCACCGCAGGGAGCCTAACATAGAACCTCAGCAGCCAAATGCAGTCTCACATTGCCTGCGTCTGTGTTCCTAAGGAAAAGGAAAAGCAAGGAGATTAAAGGGGATTTCTAAAGGAGATAAAGTTGGTCTCCGGTATTTTCTATATTTTCTAACCGCAGGAACAAAGCCAGAGTTAAACAAAAGGAGCCCTGTTATAAATAAACAGCTGCCAGGTTTCTATCCGGCAAGATTTCTGGTTCCCAGCAGGAGGTCCAGGACCCTCTGTGAGTTGTCCCCACCTTCTTTCTAGCTAGAATCCCTTCTCCAGAGATCTCTGTAACGCAGGAGAATCAGCATTTAGGAAGGGCGGCATGTGGTAAAGCCACTCGCAAAATTTCATAGTTAAGAATAAAATGCAGTTTTGTTTAGAACGTCATCCACATAAACACGTAAACATCAAATCTACCTCACAGGCACTAGTAGTTACTGAACAAAGTCCAGGTTACGATGGCAATCCTGTGCTAACTCTATGGAGAAAATATAACTCTTATGTGGACTGTCTCATAGTATGATAAAGCCTTCCTGTTAAAATTTGGTTATCACATTGCTTTCATTAAGAGGAATTTTGCAAGAATATCATATTGATTCCTCAAGGGCCTCTAAGCTGTGGATGTTCCTGGCAGCTGGCCTGATGCCAGGGTTAAAATAGCAGGGGGGAGAGGGTGGTGAACGCTGGAAGAATGGGACCTAAGTTTGCAAGTGGCAAGTGCTTTAACGAGTATTGCCTTCTTATGATGACTTCTGCGGGCCCTCTGCAGCTGAGAATCCGGAGGGACGCAGAGGCGAGACACGCTGATCACCTGGCCGTCTGGTGACTTTACATGAACTGGCTTTCTATTTTTCTGCATACCCCCTACTATCTCCACCTGGAAGATACCCTCAACCTAGCCCAGGTTCCCCTTTACAAATCCCCTGGCAGACCTGGGATGGGTCCTCAGCGAACCTTCCCTCAGCGGCCCCACCACTGGGCCCACTTCATTCTCCGTGCGTGGGAGTATTTTGCCAGAATGCTCTCATGCATTTGAGATTTCTGCCCTGCCCCTGGTGGGCACTCGGTAAAAGGAAACAGTAAGCTGGAAGGACATGAATCACAGGGCCATGGCAGGCCATTCTTTCACTCTGTTCGTTATGGCCACCAACAGAATGAATGCTCCCCATCAGGGTCGTGTAGTCTTAGGGGCTTTGGTCCATATGGGAAGCTGGGACCCAGAGAGGGTAGCAAGCAAGCTACTTAATGTCACCCAGCCCTTCTCTTCCATCCCCCAGTCAACGGTGGTGCACAGTGACCCTCAGCATGGCACGGAAGACCACGTAGGATTCAGTGCCTCCCACCTCTCAGGTGTCACCCTCTTCTATCACATTCCCCATTCCCCTTCTTCCCCTGTGATCTACAACCCCTGACACATCATGCTTTTCACACCTCCAAGGCTTTGTGTCGCACGCTCCCTTGGCCCTGGCATGCCTTTTCCCTCTCCTGCCTGGCAAGCTCCAAGTCCTGGCTGGGAAAGTACCACCCTGTGTAAATGCTATTGGGGGTTCAGTTTCACGGCTCCATAATCTGGGTTCAAACCTATGCTCAGCCACTAATCAGCTATATGACCTTGACAAGTCACTGACGCTGCCTCACTGTGGGGACAAATGAGACTGGTGCCCGGAGATGGCTCAAGGCAGTGACTGGCGGACACCCGGTACTCACTCAGCAGGGAGGACTGTGCCTGCTCTCTCGGGCCGGGCTGGGGGCCCTGCCACACCTCTGTCACCTGGCAGGGCCACGATGCTCAGGTGTTCGGGTCTGCAGGCAGGTCTGTGTTGTTACCTTTCTACTCCGGAGTCTAGCCCATAGCTCAGCTCCCCAGTAAGGCCTGAATCCCGTTCCGAGTACATCACAAGGTAAACACCCAATACCAGCCACCATATAGCCACAGCTTCTGGAATATGGCCTCGGAGCAAAGGCTGGTGTTGCTCTAGATAATTCCTTAACAAGAGCACCTCTGCCCACGTCTCAGGCGGGCCGCCCTGTTCCTGAGTCGGTGGCTTGCTTCAGCCCCAGCGCATCCAGCCACAGGCGCAGCCTCCGGGATCAGGAAGCCTGGAATATGACGCAGAGGGTCTCTGAGGCTCTGAGTTAGGAGAGTACCTTGATTGTCTCTGAAGAGGCAACTACATCCAAGCTCAGAGAGGACTTTGGTTTGCAAAAATTATGTCCAGGTCAGGTTTCTCCACTGTGCCACGGTTGACATTTGGGACTGAACAGTTTAGTTGTTGCAGGGCCCTGACTTGTGCATGGTAGGCTCCTGGCAGCATCCCGGGCCTTGACCCACTGGATGCTACCCCCAAGTTGTGACAAGCCAAAATGTCTCCAGATGCAACCAAATGCCCTCTAGGAGGCAAAGATGACCTCAGTGGAGCACTCTTCTAGAGCAAGTGGGCCCACTCAACCCCAACCCTGGATTTATTACTGCAGTAAATCGAGGAACATCTTAGCCACTCACTGTGTTTACCTTGAAACACTGCCTTCTAGTCCTCAGGGAATTTTTTTTTAACTTCACAGTCTTGAAGGCAGTTGTTCTGCACATTAGAATCCCCTGAAAGCTTTTTAAAAGTACAGATTCCTGGGCCTCAGCCCCGGAGATTTAGATTCACCTGGCCTGGAACAGAGGCCAGGCATGGGTATAAAATGTTAAGTTCTGCAGGCAGTTCTAGCAGGCAGTCAAGGTGGAGACGCACTGCTGGAGATACTTCATTTGACTTCACCCTCTCCCCCATTGTTGCAATCTGACAGTGTTAAAAGCAGTGAGCCAGACAGCCAAAATGAGGCTAGGGGGATTTAATAACATGCGTGTTCCTCATCAATGAAACATCCTCTGCCCACCCCATTTCTTGGTCTGCAGATGGCTTGCTAGAAAGAATGGAACTTACTCCATAATCGAGCAGCTTTGCCACGGCTTTACAGATCTAAACAGCACCATCTCACAGAACTTTCTGCAAAGACGTAAATGTTCTCTATCTCCTCTGCCAATGTGGGAGACCCAGGCCACAGGTGGCTATCTGGCCCTTGAAATGTGGCTAGTGTGACGGGAGAAAAGAATCTTGAGTTTTATTTAATATTAATTATTTTGAATTTAAAGGGCCACAGTATTGGATAGTACAAGAAGCGATTCTGTCTTACAGTATCACGGAAATTAAGAAAAGTCCTAGAGCCTGCTAAACTCCACAGAACTGTGACATTTACAAAAAGGTGTGCCTTACAGTGTCTAAATGCAACAGCCTTTAAATTATCAAATGGGTTGCTAACTTATTTCAGTAAAGAATCAATTTAGGAGAAGTTTTTAAATAATTTTTTTTCAACCTGCAGAACTAGCCTCCCAGCATAGTGCAAACACTTAGCTTTGAGGAGTACATCCTGGCTCTATTGAACGCTCATCAGTGTAATAATTATTCTAGTCACCAAAATAACCAGGAGTTGGTAAAGAACATGATGCAGGGGATCTGATTTTGACTCTTAGCTGCTTACTTACTAGCTTGGTAGGATAAAACACTCACCCTTGCATTTTTTTCCCCTCCAAATCCAAAAATAACCTTTGATACGAAAATCTTGCTCCCAAGATAGGCCTGAACCACCACACCCAGCAAATCAAGGTCACGGCTAAGAGCAAGTTTTTTTCCCCTCCTATCATCAAGTTTCAAAATTACTTACAATTGCACAAACTGTATTCACACATTCACTCTAGGTGTGCAGAATCACACAGAACTCAAAGCTTATGAACTTTTAAAGCTTAAATATAGAAAGGCAATCTGCCTCATTGCAAGAGCAATGGATGGTTTAGAGTTTAAATAGCTTCATCGGCCTTTCTAAGCACAAACATACACAAAATCCTTACCTCTTCTTGGGCTGAACTCCCTCGGCCCACCTCTAAACAGAGTCACTGTGAGCCATTTAGATGATAATTTAATATTTCACCAGTGATTCAAAGTAGTGGTCAGCTGTCAGTCACTCTTCATAATAGCTGATGCTTATTGAGTGTTTACCACTCATGCCGGGCTCTGTGCTTTATCTAAACCACTGCCTTCTGAAGCAGGTGCCAGAAGCGGAGGCTCAGAGAGGTTAGATAACTGGCCCATGGCCACACAGCAAGCAAGAGGTAGAGGTGGAATTAGGACCCAAGTCTTTCTCACTTTCTGGTGGGAATCCTTTGGATTATTAACAAAACCAAACATGTAATTACAGTGTTAGGTGCCGTGCTGAGCCATGCTCCCTGTGACCGGGCTGCACTTCAATAAAGGGACTCGGGGCCTGCAGGCTTCACAAATCCCAAGCCTATTCCTACTTTGGAAACCACCCCCCTCCACCCCATATTCTAAGGAACTGTCTCTCTCTCTGAGCTGGGGCTTCACCAGGCAGGTGGGTAGAAGGGTCTTGGGGTGCGCTTCTGATTCTGCCAGCACAGCTACACTCGAGAGGACAAGGCAGACACATGCGGTAGAATTTCCAAAATGTCCCTGTGCGGGTAGAAAGTAGCGGATCCCAATTACGGGATCCCAGGAGAAAAAGGAATAGCTCTCAGCTGGGGGGCAGGGGAGCAGTCGGCAGAGTGTTTCTGGAGGGGACAGCTGAACTGGAGCCTAAGGGGGAGGTAAGACTGAAATATCAGGTTCCAGGGAGGGCATGCCCCCAGGAGGGAACAGCCTGAACAGGGCAGCAGAGGGCCAGAACGCATGTTCATTGGCCTGGGTACAGCAAAGGAGGCAGGGAGGAAAGGGGAGGTCAGGATGCAAAGCGGGGACAGGGCAGGGTCTCCAGGGGCCTAGGCTGATGGGCTGGAGCAGCATACGGAGCCCAGGAGGTACCCATTGACCATCCCACGGCCTGTTTTGCATCCCATCCCATGGGTGGCATGGAGCAAGTCCCTGTGTGGCCTAGAGCAAGTCCCTTCTCCTCCCTGGGCTCCAGTCTCCTCTAGGAGGACACCCAGGACCCCTTACTGGCCTGAGAACCTAATGTTAGAAAAACAAATTGGTGCCTAAGAACACAGGTTATTAATTTCTCTTATTTCTAACTTCCTATATTATAAAAAAATGTTGCTGATAAGTTATTAGTTACCATTAGGTAAAAATAACTTTAATGGTTCAGAATGGGGGCTCTGAGGTCAGACTCACTGTGTGTCCTGGGAAGGGACCATCTCTGGAAGCCCCACTTCTTCCTCTGAGAAATGGGCAAGAGCACTGGTACCTCCCTGATGTGGCTGTTGGTGGGTCATCTTTTAAAGGAGTTTAGGACAGGGCCTGGCACCCAGGACTTGCTTATTCTGTCAGCTGTTATTAATAACAAACTATTTTTAACTCCCAGCCAGCCATTAGGGACTTCTGAGCAGGTAAGCGGTGAGACGAATGCTGGCCTCCAGTCCCAGTTGGGACCTCTCCTTAACCAACCAGCCCCTGGGGAATAAAAAGGGCTCAACGTACACAGCCCTGGATGCACAGCCTCTAGACCTTCCAGCACCCTCTTCCTCCCTATCTCACTCGTCAGCTTGGCCGCCTCCACTCTGTCTGCGGATGCAGGGGTGCAAATCAGGGGTGCACGTGCTCTGCCCTGCAGCGGGCATTACACAATCCGCATTTCCAGGGCTGTCAAAATACTAGGGAAGGGGTAGGCGTGGGATACTGGGGTTGCGGGCGGCACCGGCTGTCAGGATGGTTGGAGAGCCTCCAGACTCGCGGGTTGCTGGGAGGAGGGGGCGCCAAGGGCGAGGGATATGGGGCAAGTTGAGGGAGAGGGGAGCTGAAGGGATGCTGCGGGTAGCCACTGGCTGGGAAAGGTCTTGAGGGGTGCAGATTCTGGGGCAGACGCGGGGAGGTGACACGGACTGGGAGGGCGAGCTGCAGCCCCCTTCCCCAGAAGTGGGAGGCACGAGGGTGCGGGAGCCTCAAAACCATCCCGGCGCTGGGAGAGGGACCCCGGAGCTGGTGCTGGTGCAGGAGGGGCAGGAGGAGAGGCTGCAGGGCCCGGACCCGACCTCACCTGCGCCGGGGCTAGGGCGGCAGGCAGCCCAGCCCCGGAAGGTCGGGGGAACAGGGATTCGGGAACGGCAAAGCCATCCAAGCACCAGAAGGGCGTCGCAGGGGCTGCTGGCGGGACGGCGGACGGAGCAGATCCGGGGGTGCAGGTCCCGACCTGTCCTGGCCCCGTGAGCGAAGTGGAGGGAGCCCCGGACACCCCTTCTGGGGCACCCCCGCCCCGCCCGCGCTCCCCTGACCTGACCTCAGCCTCTGGGGTCCCGCCGCTCGTTCCGGACGCGGATGCTCGGCCCCAGCCCGCGGCTTACTCCCGGCAGCCGCGCTCGCGCCCGTGCCTGCGCCGCCCTCGGTTCCCCGCGCCGGCTCGGCGGGACGCCTTAAAGGCGCGGCTCGCGGCCCACGTCCGCCGATAGAAAAGCCGGCCCCGCCCTCGTCCGGCCGCGCGCAGCGCCCCGGGGGCCGCGGGCGGGCCTGCGCGCTGCGGCTGGAAATCGCCCAGCTCCCGCGCGCCCGGCCGAGGGCGCTCGGCCGCAGGGAGAACTTAGCTTCCCGGCGGGCCGCCCCGGCTGCCTGTCCCCGCGCATCTGGGAGCAGAGCGTCTGCGGTGTCGCGGGCGCTGGGCCCGGCTTCCCGGCCCCGGCCCGGCCGTACCCTACGGAGCGCGCGCTCGGAGCCTCGGGGCGGGGAGCGGAACCAGGGGCCACAGCTCCACGGGGCGCCGCCAGCATTCGCCGGGCCGTCGTTTCATTTACTGTGCACCTACTATGTGCAGTCCGGCGCTGCTGGGCAGGGCACCCGCCCAAAGGACTCAGGCCGAATCTCTGCCCCCACAGGGCTCAGAGGGACAGACAAGTTTGCAGGCAAGCGAAGCCACCGCCTGGCCTAGGTGGTCCCATTGACTCCTGAGAGGTAGGCGTGCTGATTGGCTTGCTTTCTCAGGAGAAAGGTGAGGGGCTTGCCCAGGCTTCAGCCGAGAAAGGACAGAATCGAGAATGCCAATCCAGGATTTTCTGGCTCCAAGGCCCTGGGGGCAAAAATCACCATCTTGACAGGCATTCAGCCACCACTGGTGATGTCCCCACGATGCGCATTTCTTCCTTTCAAGGACTATTAAGCCTCACTTGGCAAAAATAATAATAATAATAATAATAATAATAGGGCGAGGAGCATAAAAGTTATCACCCATTAATTTCAGATGGTGTTTTCTGGCTAGCTTTTCTGCCACACACACACAAAGCCTCGTTTTGAGCATCTGGCCTCATGTCACCACTCCAGCCTCACCTGCTGGCATTCCAACGGTATAGGGCTGAACTCCCATCTTGGCCTTTGACTGACTAAACTGTTCCCTCCCCCAAGAACTCTCCTTTCCTGTTTGGCCTGGCTACTCCTTCCTGTTTTCCATGCCTCGATTTAAATGTCACTTGCTCTGAAGACTAGTAGTGACTCTGTGGCATCTCACTATACTGATAGACAGTGACTGCAAAAGGGTATAGGGAGGAACCTGGTAATATGGGTGAATGTAGTAACCACATTGCTTTTCTTGTGAAACCTTCATAAGAGGGTATATCAAAGATACCTTAATAAAAAAATTTATCACTTGCTCCAGGAAGCCTTCCTTAGGTCTCCTTTGGGCCCACGCTGCTCAGTGGGCTTCTTCCACTGAAGGGTTTATTCATGCACTTAACAAAGGTGCACTGAACGCGTACTGTGTGTTGAGCACTGCGGGCGTGGGTGCTGAGGCTGAGGGTGTCCCTGCTGGCTGAGTGCCCATGGCTTGTTTGTCCTCCTATTGCTCCAGACCTAGGTGGGACCAGCAGGATTCCATTGGCCATTGTTATCCACCACAAGGCAGCCTCTGCCTGCTAAGCCTCCAGGCAGACAGAGCTTGGCTGAGTTGGGCAGGCCCTGGGGTTTAAGAATGGGGCATAGACAAGAAGCCCCAGAGAGGTGGCAAAGGGGCATCGCTGCGGCCCCTGGTAACCACCTTGTGAAATCTGCCTCTGTCAGGGCTGCTGGAATCCACCCAGAGTTTGAGTCAATTTCCCTGGCTTGGGTTGGAGCATCTTCCTCTAAAATGTTGGCCACCTCATCACTCAGATTAAAGAGCTGCGTTTGACTTTGTTTCACGGAATTGTGCTCAGAGCTTCAGGGACGGTTTACTCATCAAAGAGCGTGTTGTCCGGCTCTCCCTCACTGCCAAACTTGAATCTTTCCAAGCTACTGTCCTCGGGCATCCCCAGACCGGGACCACAGAGGCAGCAGGGAATGAGACTGACCTGCCTATTAGTCCCCGTAGCCTCCTATTGGCAATCCTAGGCTCAGGGTACAATCCCCACGCAGGTTGTGTGGGGGTGAATAAATCAGTAAATGAATGACTTTCCAGAGGGCCCCACCCTGGACACCATCAATAAATTTTATCTGGTGCATTTAAAAACTTTAAAACAATTGTCTTTTAAATTTAAAAAAAATCTTTAAAGGGATAGTTCATCTTTTCACTCATAGCCTGTTGCCCTGGGGTCTCCTAAAGTCTGGAATTTCTAAATCCAGAGAGTTTTTTCTCCCAAGTCGTCTATTGAGAGAACACCGAGTCGGAGCTCCCAGTGGCAGTCCCATTCTCTTGACTCTTCTCCACCCAGTGACTGACAGGAAAAAGGCTTTAAGAAGCCTCCATTTCCCAGTGAAGCGAAAGAAGCAGAAAAAGAAGAGGGGACTTGCCTGCGGTCCCTCCCCGAGCCAGCAATGCCCCTGAGCACTGTCACTGAGAACAAGGGACGGGGGGGAGGCCATGGAGCAGCCCCAGGGACCACCCACATTCCTAATGGCACCTTCAGTCACCCCAAACAGAAACTCTTTCCCTGACAGGTCTCACCCCAGCATTAGGAAAGAATTGTGAAACCTCTCCTCTGCCAGCAGGTGCAGCCACGGCCCCAAGGCCTTGCCCTGCCATGCAATCAGTGTACATCTGCCGGACTCAGTGGCATACCAGTCGGAGTGGAGCAGTGCCATTGGTTGGCACCATTTAATGCACATTTTATTACCTCCCGGGCACTGGGCATCACCTCACTTGGTCCTCACAGGCGCTGGGTGAGATATGCTAACCTACTTGACAGATGGGAGCACCGAGGCAAAGAGGGGTTAACTGACTCACTCAAAATCTCACAGACAGTGAAGAGGCCAGCAGTCAGAGGCATTCGTTCATTCACTCACTCATTCATCAAATATTAGACCGAGCACCTACTACTTGCCAGCCTCTCTCTTCTAGGTGAAGTGGGTGAACACTTCTTGTGCTCAAGGACTTAGAGTCTGTTCATAATAAGAAAATACTATAAACTGTTCATTTGGGATCCCACACAGACTACGGTGGAACCATAAGTAACAAGTACAAAGGCCATGTCAGCACATGGAAATGTATGTAAGAGCAAAACGAAAAACAGAACGACCATGTGCATACACATGCCAGCTGGGCAGCATGCCTGGGCCTCTGAGCCACTGGCACAAGCCATTCCCCAGGAATTCACTGCATGGCAACTCTGAGCCAACCCGGGGCCCCCTGCCCAGTATACAATTCAGATGTCACCACTGCACGCAGCCTTCCCTGATTACCTATGCCAAATGAATACTTCCATTATTCTTGCCCCTGTGGCACATTGCATGTGATGACATATTTATTAATTTCAGGGACTCTTGACTCCACTGAGTTGTGAGCAACTTTGCCAGCTCTATTTCCCCAGCACCCAGCATGATGCGTGGCACAGAGCGGGCAAATAGTAATTAGCCACCATGGGTAGAGCTTTGCCTGTGCGCTTACCCTGTGCTCAGTGCTGTCACTGAGTCCTCCCAGCAACTCTATGTAGTGGGTACTATCATTAGTCCCATTTGACAGATGAGGAAATTAAGGCTCAGAGAGGTTAAATAACCTAACCAAGGTCACACAGTGAGACTGCAAACCAAGGGGTGTATATCTGAACACTAAATCCACGTTCTAACCACGAAGATGCCTGCTGCCATAACTAGTAATTCAATTAAATATCAAAGATACAGCAAAGTCTCACCTTAAAAGAGCTTGCATTAAAAAAAAATCC